TGCTTTTTTATAATAAATAAAATCAATACATATATATATATATATATATATATATATATATATATATATATATATATATATATATATATATATACATATACCATATATATATATATATATATATATATATATATATATATATATATATATATATATATATATATATATATATATATATATATATATACCATATATATATATATATATATATATATATATATATATATATATATATATATATATATATATATATATATATATATATATATATATGTATATATACATATATATATATATATATATATATATATATATATATATATATATATATATATATATATATATATATATACATATATATATATATACCATATATATATCATATATACAAGCAAAAATAGCTTGAACCAACTTTATTACTCGTTTATCCATAACTACCTAAGATATCCAAATATAGCCGGTAAATTACGGATAAAAGTAGATTAATCTTTGTTACCGTCAGAAGCACGCAACTCGTATTATTAATTTTGCCGTTCTATCTAATTTTACTCATTCTAAGCCTTTCTTTAACAAAAATAAGAATACTTGATATATATGAAACAAATGTATTCAATGTTCTTATGTTTTGTATATATGTGAAAAAATACTTGAGCTCTTAATTTTTTTAAAAATATATTTACTTTATAACCTGGAAATAAATATACCCTTAAAAAAATGATTTGCTAAATCTAATTTTTGTCACACAAAATTTAATCATTATTTTTTTTATTAATTATCGTGCACCATATCATTGGAATAAATTTATTTAAAAAAATTTTTCCTCTTTATTTAGTTTGTTACTTTATAAAGTTTATTTTATTTCATAATTCTGAAAGGTTTATCACAATTTATTTTATTAGGGTAGAGTAAGGCACCATGATACATGGGGCACCATTAAACATTGTAATTGTGGAGGCATCTTAAGAGTTGTGATATAACTTTCATATGGTGAAATACTTACTACAAGAGCTATGTTTTGACAAAAAAAGTTATATCACTTGATATCATAAGACATTTGATATCATTATTTCTCGATTCTGAAGCCAGTACTCCAACCACTGCACGATGGTTGTTCAAATTAAACTTTGATTCAAACCATCAAAAAATATACAAAATACATACCGGAAAGGTATGTATTAGGTTGAAAAAGTACATAGACACATTATTTTAGCTAGTGATAAATATACGTAGTCGATGGAAACATATTGCAGGTTTGAAGGTAGCAATTTTATTACAACTTATCAGTAGCTACATATCGTAGATAATTTGCTAACTACAACATAATCACAACTATAGATATATCATAACATTGCTAGCTAAAAAGCTTTCAGCAATGTTGTTATAATATATCAACAGCTATACATCATAGCTTTGTTGCTAGCAGCTACATAATAAGAGTTTTGTAACTACTAGGTGGTTATTGTGACAGTTCTTTAAATATGCATATACTTATCACTATAGCGTTATGTATGCACAAATCGTGGGTTTTTAGTAAACGATTTTATAACAAAACGTTGTTATAAAATCGCTTACTAAAAACCCGCGATTTGTACATACATGATGTTGAAACAAAGCAGTTTTATAACATACCTAACTGTATATCGTTGATTTGTAACTTAATAAAACATAACTACAGATTTAAAAGTAGTTAATACCGCTAGCAAAGAGCTGTGTAATAATAGTATTTTTTCTTTGTGTGTGTGAGTGTGGGTGTGTATGTGTTGTTGTTAAGGTCCTCCAAGAAGTCTTTACGGTCCTATCACAAAACATGTGTTTTGTGATGACTCCAACAGTAAAATAGGTGTAAAAAATAACTTCCCAAAATTTTTAATATGCTGAATACCTTTTTATTGGTCTTTAATGCTAGATTTTAAAAACTAAATTTTAAAAAACTTTAAATTGGAAGAAAGGATTGATTTCTCTTATTATTAATTTTTATTGAGTTAAATAGAATACTAAAAAAAAATAGAATACCCACAGTTTGTTACGCTGTGGACCTTTTTGTTTAGTTGATGACATGGCTGTGTAACAGCATACATTGTTTACTATTACATCAACTTAATTTAACTATAGTTATGCATAAACGTATCATACTTTTCAAACTATTACAAAATATTACTTAAATAACCAGCTCAGGTATTTACATTTCAAAGGTATTTTCAGAAGTTAATATAGATAAATCTTCACTACAACCTAAACTTAAAACATGGTTTAACTTTAATGGGAACGTCAATTATATGGTTGCGATAAAACGATGCTATAAATACTTCTTAGTGAAAGGCTGCTTGACATCAATGAATTTCACCGGTGACTAATAACTAGAGGCTGTTCTACGAATACAATGAATCCCTAAAAAGGTTCCTTAAATTGGTTCCTTATAAAAAAAAAGGCCCCCAAAATTAAAGTTCACCTGACTGAATTGTATTAAATACCCGACTACCCAACTATCGGGTGGACACGGAAAAATCCGGTCAACTTTAAATTGAGATTTCTCTAAAACCATAAATGCTTTTTATTTCAATTTTTTTATTATTAAATGTGTTTTCATAAATTAGAATTTCAACTTAATTTTAAGGGGCTTGATGGGTTGCTTGGCAAGAAATAAAACTTTATAGCGGGTTGATGCCATCATTTTACAGATTTTTTCTTTTTTCACCATATTGGTGACATTAATCCACTTTTTTTAGAACTCCTTTTTATTATTTGTTAGTCCACCTGTCTTACGAAGAACTCCTTTAACTATTGCCCAAAAATCTTCAATCTTGCGCTCTTCAGGACGATTTGGAGATTTCGCATCTTTAGGAACAATTTTCACATTATTATCTTTGCACCACTGGAAAACTTTTTTAGAATAGTGAGAGGCAGCAAGATTGGGCCAAAAGAGACATCGGTATTTGTGTTTTTTTATAAAAGGCAAAAGTCTTTTTTGGAGGCATTCTTTGATGTAGAGATTGGCAGTCAAGGTCTTTTTAGTGACAAAACAAGAAGACTGAATACCACAGCTACAAATTGCTTGCCACACAAAGAACTTGGATGCAAATTTTTCTCTTCGAATATATTTAAATTGATCATCGACAGTTTTATCTTTGTTTTCATAGTAAAACTGTTGACCAGGAAGTTGTGAAAAATCCGCCTTGCAATACGTTTCGGCGTCTTCAATTATGCACATATTTTTATCCGCCATTATTTTAACCAACTCCTTTGCGCGTCGAATTCCTTTAATTTCACAATTTAAACTTCTCTTAGGTGTATTTTTTTATGAAATGCTTTATTTCCAGCATTTTTAAGTACTTTTTTGATATAAGAACGAGAAGTCTTAAATTTTCTTGCTAGATCTCGCTGTGACTGATTTGGATTTCTCGCTATTGAACGTAAAATCGACTTTACCTTTTTGGATTTATGGAAAGTTTTTTTTCTTCCACTTCCAAGTTTTTTTTTGAAGCTTTGAGTAGTCTTGAACTTGTTTATAATATCTATGACTGTAGATTTTGGGACATTTGTGCGTTTAGCAATCAAGCGTTAGGAAGTCGGTGGATTTTTGCAAAAAAAAATTCACAACTTTTTTACGCACCTCAACTTGTTTCCAAAACATTTTGCAAATCATTAATTTGTAAACAAAAATTTATCAACACCATTTAAGATAAGGAAGTAAGGTTTAATTAAAAAAAAAAAATGAAATAAAAAGCATTTGTGGTTTTGGAGAAATCTCAATTTAAAGATGACCGGATTTTTCCGTGTCCACCCGATATTTTTATCAAAAAACCGACTATAACTTCACCTTGTTTGGGGGAACATCCCTTTCTTTCCTTCTCCTCTAAAATTGTCTGTGTTAGTAGCACCGGTGATGATTCAGCTCTACATCCTAAGAAAAAGAAAAGTAAATGAAAACGAGCAAACTAATCTGTACGAAAAAATGCACACATATGATGTGAAATAATCATTCCGATTGCAAATGATATTAGTTTTTGCATGAAACCGTTCGCTTAAATTGGATAGCAAACCCTTATAAGTGTTGGTCAGCAAACGCAAAATATTATCCTAACATAGCTTGCTAACATTCTCTTATTATTTGCCGGTGGCAGTGTACATAGTGAATGGCTATTTTATGAAGTATGGCATCTCTAATTATAACTATTACTTATTTTTTGTTTAGTCTCTTAAATTTTAATCTAATTAAAAATATGTTAGCATTATAATCCTCTTCCCGATGTACTGTAATAAGATCGTAAGGATTTCTGGTAGCACCTTAATTGCAAAAGAAAACAAACAAAAAAAAACATACCTATTTAAAATATTGGTCATTTATTTCATTAGCTTTTTTTTCTTTTCTTTACTCAATGCTTTTGACTTTCATAAATACTTTTATAAAGGGCCACTTCAAGTTGACTGGAGCCGCTTCAAGTTTAAATTAAATTTAGGTTGTGAATTTCAGTTGTGAAGCACTAAAATCTAAATATCATCTTTATAATCACATTGTAAGTATGATTGTAAATACTTTGATATTTAGCAAGTATTTAAGGCAGTCCCTAAACTATTGGGGCCTAGAAATATTTTGTCCAGTTGTCGGAACGGCCGTTCTCTCATATTGCCTTGCTCCATTAACATTTAAATGATATAATGTTAAAAAAATAGAAAGCAAAAAAAAATTTATAATTTTTATGACAGTTTATTTCAAATAAGTAATTTATTCTCATATTTCGACTATATTGATTTTTAGTCGAGTTAGTCGATTTAGTCGACAGTGGAATTATTTAATAGTCGTAACAAGACTATTAGCCGTTCCGTCTTCAGAAACACAAAGCTCGCGCACTTAGTTTTAAAATTATTAATTTCAAAATTAAATGCACGAGCTCTACGATTCTGATTGTTTAAATTACTCTGTCTTGTTACGCGCGAATTTTTAAAATCGCCAAAAAATTTTGACCCCAATTTTTTTCTTATTTACTTTTGTTCCTTACAATAAAAAGGATAAAATAGAAAGTTTTTATATATACATATATTTACGCTGAATTTTTTTTTTTGCAAATAAGTGATTTGGTTACAAATCAAGAGTAAAGAATTTAACACTTACAAACTTTAAAAAAATATATTCAACAATTCAAAGTTTTTTGAAAATGAAGAACAGCAAATCTAAACTTTTAAAAAATTATTTTCCTAAAGTACATGAAACTATAAAAATGTAAGCCTATTTATATAATAATTTGCAAGTATATAGTTAAATTCTTTTTCTAAAAACAAGTATAGTCAATTTTAGTTATTTTTTTATTTTTATTATTTTTTTATGCAGGCATCATTATAGTCCTACTTTAAACAGCAATGAAAATTGTAGCAACAGTTTCAGAAAAGAATGCTCAAAGCTTTGTCATCATTTATCTCCCAAAAAAATTCCTGTGATTGACAGATCAAAAACAAGCATTCTTAAAGTAAGGACTTTTACAATTAAATAAATGTATTTAAGTAAATGTATTTTAAGGGAAACTGTTATAAGGGTAAAATGTATTTTAAGAGTAACTAAAAATGTGAGGGTATAATTTTTTTAATTGTTGTTATTAGTGTTGTACTTTATGCTAACTGATTGGTTAAGAAAGAATTTAAGTTTTTATAGTTTTTCACTGAAATACAATACAGTATATTTAGTGATCACTTCGCATCTGAAATAGGAGCAATTGTTATGTTTAAATTTCTATAATTTATTTTGTTGAATATTATTAAATATTCAATATTTAATACAAAAAAAAAGAATTAATTTGATTTTATCTATATCAATATAAATGATGTTAAATAATAAAATAAAAAAGGATTAAATACAATAAAAAATATTTAAAAAATAAAAAGTATTAAATTTAAAAATCAACAAAATGGTTTCTATATAATGTTGTTTTTTTTTTTTTTGTTTTTTTGTTTTTTTTAATGACAATTGGTTTTCAATAATTTTACTGATTTTGTTTGATATTCTTCCTTAAACAACTTTTCTATTCAGCTCATAAATTAGTTTAAATTTAGTTAAACTAAGTTTAACATTACTACTTAGCTCAAACTAAGTTTAGCAAATTAAATTCTCACCAAAATAATTCATTTTGTGAATTACAAAACCCTAGTGAATATTTGGCATGCTATCTTTAATTCCTTTCTAAACTATGGTTACTAGATATGGAAACAGTTCATCCATTTATTGAAAAAAAAAAAAAAAAAGACATAAATCTCCAAAATAAATCATTAAGAACAACTCACTTTCAATCTTATAGTTTTAGTTTTGACATACTATATAATCTTTTTGAAATTTTAAAGGTTGACAAACTCTTCTACGTATCAAACTGTGAACTTGTATGGGACATTATCCACAATAATATACTCAGCTGCTTCAATAGCTTTTATAAATTCACAAATGCTGTTCATAGTCATAAACTTAGGTCTGTATCTTATTGTAGTCTCCTCTAAGCCTTTAAAACAAACACATAATTGCATTAGGTCAATCAAGTATTAATCAATTTACTGTTGGAACTCTCTTCCTGTTAAAACTAAAAAAATATTCTCCAAAATGAGAAATAGAAATGCCTTCATAACCCCATGTAAAAAAGTTTCTCAATAAAAATAATCAATAAACTATCTTCTATGCAATCATTCCTTTTAGATATTCTCTATAACTAAATTTTTTAACAAAATGAAAATATAAAACTTGTAAAATAGAAGTAAAAATATAAAACTCATAAAATAAAAATATATAACTCATAAAATAAAAATATAAAACTCATAAAAAATATATATAAAACTCATAAAATAAAAATATATAACTCTAAAAATAAAACATAAAAATAACAAAAATACATTTACTATCAAGTAAAATACCCTCATCTTCATCATCCTAATACTGAAGTAAATAATATGGCTATAAAGTTTGTGGTATTATTATAAAACTGTAACATGTAGTGTAATAAAAAACAAAATAATGAAATATTTTCTATGTAAATGGCCCGGTTAAGCTATTCTCTATAACTAATTCAGTTTTTTTTAATTTTAATTCATGTATCTATATTTTTATTTCTTTCTAAAATAATATGCTTAAAAAATTCTGATACATAACAAAACTCTACAAGGACTTCTACTTCTTCAACTCTTTTTTCTAAGTCATTAACTTCTCTTCTTTTTCATTTGTCCTTTTTATCTGTTATAATATTTTATTATTGATACTATTATGGTTTTTATATTTTTATTTTTCATTATTATTAATGACCATCACTATTTGCTACAAATGTTTTGTTTAGAAAATAATAGTAAAAATATAGATAGTAATAGGATTTAAGTTACAAATAGGATAAGTTCCTAATAAATTCTTAAAATGAATTCTTAAAAGGTCAACTATCTATTGAACTGTTAAACATTTGCTTAATTCTCTCCATTTTTGAACAGTTTATTATTGCATCATCTAGTGCATTCCAGCAACTCAATTACTAAAAAAATGATATTGTTGTTCACAATTTCTATTAAATTCTTGTACAAACTGTTCTCTTTTACCATATCGAGCTGGCCAAAATAATAGATTTAGTGTGCCAGTTAATGATAGCAAGACCTTTATTGGTTTTATACCTTTTAGTTAAGTCACCTTTTATTCTATGATCCTCAAGTTTTTGAATTTGAAACAAGATACATCTCTGTGTGTAACCAAGATGTTTGAATATGGTTGGTACTTTTGTAGATCGTTTTTGTATTTTCTTAATTTTTTTAATTATGCAAGGAGACCAAGCACTGATTGCATATTCTAGCTTAGGTCTGGCATATGTTTTGTATAACTTGGTTCTTGATACAAATTTTTTTTTTTTAAAAACATATTAGGCATTGTGTTAGCTTTATTACTAGCATGAATAACTTGATGAAAATATTTAGCATCACTTGAAACATTTACCAAGATCTTTTTCTACGTCTGATTTTCCCAAATCGTAATTTAAATAGTTGATTGTATCTTGAAGTGACTAGTTAGTGCGTGGGAATTTTCTTCCCATATGCATAACCTTACATTTTTCTAGGTTGAGCTTCATTAACCAAACTTTTGTCCATATCGTGATTTTATTTAAATTAGTTTGGATGTCAGTAGTATTATTAAGAATATTATTTACTCTTAGTTCATTTATTAACTTAGAATCATCTGCATATAGCCTACAGACACATTTTAAATTGTCAGGCAAGTAATTGATATAAATTATAAAGAGTATTTAGCCCAAAATAGAGTCTTGTGTGAGACTGCTAGTAATATGACTCCAGTCAGAAATGTGTTTTTCAAGTACTACTCTCTGTTTTCTATTAGCAAGAAAATCTATAATCCAATCAAGAAGGTCTCCAACAATACCATAACCTTTCAGCTTGAGGATTAATAAGGTGTGAGAGATAATGTCAAATGCTTTTGAAAAGTACAGATATCACATCTACTGCATATTTGTTAGCTAATTATTTTGTAATATAATCATTTGATTTTAATAAGTTTATAACACATGCTTTATTCTTTATAAAACCATGTTAAGATTGAGACAACAAATTTAGCTTTGAGAGATAATTTAAAATGTTATGGGTTACTAAGCTTTCCAATTATTTGCATTGAATAGATATAAGAGACACTGGTCTAAAATTAATTGGTTCTTTAGTATCACCTTTTTTAAATAATGGAGTGACATTTGCATTACGCCATACATGAGGAATTGTATTCTGTAATTGAAATCTTTCTAATAGTGATTTTTTAAATAAAATTGTGAAAAGTTTAACTAATACATCAGCGCATTATTCTAATATCAGTGGATAGACATTGTTCGGTCCAGGTGTTTTATTTGGATTTACATTTTTTAATTTACTTTTGATGTCATCTTTTGAAAAAAGACTTGATAAAGGCTCAGTTGTACAATCTGGTATCAAAATCAAGTAGTAGAAAGTTTTTATTAACTGAATAATTATTAAAGACTGACTTGAATTGAAAAAAAGTAACAAAAAAAAAATAACATTTAACGTGACATGCATATTTCGGACATATTGTTATTTCGTATGCGAACTAAAAAATCAAATTTCAACATTAAAATTAAAAAAATTTTCATAATTTTTTTTCCTTGAATATTCGGGAAACAACAGTCTTTTATAATCTAAAAAAATATATATTATCTATTATCATTTTTGAAATATTATGCATTCTGAGTATAATTGTAATAAAACTTGTAAATCTTGCAAACAAAAAATAAGCGTCCATGAGTGGCTACAATAATTTTCTTTTTTTTAGTATTTTCTTATTGCTCATTCAAACAAAAATTTCAATTTTTAATTTTTTTAAATCCTATGCGTTAAGCTAAAACATTAAATTTGGATTTGCTTTATATTAAGTATCTATACATATTTATCTATACATATAGGTTAATATTAAAGTATATATTGGAACTAGAATTAGACAGGGTCTTAAAGAGTGATTTTTAAATTAAAAATATGATAAAAGATGAAAAAATGGAGGTGGCTTTAGCAGAATTGGCAAAAAGAACATTAAACCAAAAACAAGCAGCATACCAAAATCCACTTTTAATAATCGTGTTAACGGAAAGCATACTGGCAAGGGTCGTAAAGGAACTCTTTTAACTATGGCTGAAGAACTTATGCTAGTTGAATTTTTTGCTTATCATGCAAAAATTGGTTTTGGTGCTTCTCAATTCAAAGTTAAACAATTTGTTAATAATTATCTTATTGAATCGGATCAAACGTGTCTGTTCAAAAAAGGTGAAGTGACTGACAATTGGTATTATGGCTTTATGAATAGACAAAATTATGAGACGCATTTTTGATGCATATAAAGAATTAAATGAAATTTTTGACAAATATGGTTTTCATACATAGCCTATGCATATATTCAATTGCAATGAGTCAGGTATGCAGTGTTTAAGGGGTAAACAGATTCTATCTGTTGACCAGCCTCGCACCCCTTCCTCATCTATTAGGCTGGCGCAGATGTATTTTTAATACATTGTTTCCAGTTTAGGATGTTGAACGCTGGATCTTCTTGACTCAATGCGTGGGTATTGCTTGTGTCTCTATTTTTATGACTGGGCAACTCATTCTATTATCTCCTTATGAGGGTACAGCTCTAAAACTCAGTTTTATGGTTCTGAGGCCGGCTGGTAGTCAGGTTTCCCGAACTCTGTGGTAGCTCTCAGGGAGGCTGATTCCATCAACAGCCGAAAAATATCAGAGTACTAACAGTGCCATGTTGCGCATGGATGGTGTCCCTGTTCGTACTTTTGGTGTGCATTGCAGAGGCCACATTTGGAGCCCTTTGTTACGGCTTAGGGTTTATTAATAGTAATGAGGCTATTGCTTAGTTGTTAAATAGTGTACTGAGTACTATCTATACTTGAGTCAAGTTCTTTATAAATTTAAAATGACTAAAGTACCTAAAACTAAAAAACACAAAAAACCATCGTCATCACCAAGTTCTCTAAACCTATCATTTACTAATATTCGTGGTCTTCGAAGTAACTTTTCTTCTGTTGAGTCTTATCTCTTGCAAAGTTCACCAGACCTACTTGCTCTTTGTGAGACTAATTTGAGTTCGGCTGTCCCATCTTGTGATCTTAGTGTTGATGGTTATCTTCCTTTAATTCGTAAAGACTCCAATAATCACATGCTTGGTCTGGGCATCTACATTCGTAAGAACTCACCCATTTGTTGTGAAACTAGGTTTGAATCTACAGACTATTCATTTATGTGCTTTCGTTTAGCACAACTTCACTCTATCGCCTTTCTCTTTCTTCTATATCGCTCTCCTTCATCCCAAGATTGCACTATTCTTGATGTTATTTCTGATCAAATTAACCAAGCCCTCTCTCTTTATCCATCGGCCAATATCGTCAATGTTGGTGACTTTAATGCCCACCACACCGATTGGCTTGGCTCTAGTGTCAGTGACTCTGCTGGCGTTAAGGCCCTCAACTTTTGCCTTTCTCAATCTCTAACTCAAATAGTCAACTTTCCAACTCGTTTTCCAGACAACCCTAATCATTTACCTTCTCTACTCGACTTATGTCTTGTTTTGGATCCTAGTCAGTGCTCAATTTCTCCACATTCACCCTTAGGTACTTCTGATCACGGTTTGATCTCTCTAAAACTATTATCAAATTCTTCTACTTCATCAGAATCCCCCTATCATTGTACCACATACAACTACCTTAAAACTGACTGGGACTCTTTCCGTGATTTTCTTCGTGATGGCCCTTGGGTAGAAATCTTTCGTCTTCCTGCTGACAAATGTGCTTCTTACATAACTTCGTGGATTCAGGCTGGCATGGAATCTTTTATTCCCTCTCGACGATTCCAGGTCAAGCCTCACTCTTCTCCTTGGTTTTCCTCACATTGCGCTGCAGCAATTTCTAATCGAAACTGTTACTTCCATATCTATAAGCAGAACAATTCTCCAAAAAACAGACATCTGTTCACTATCGCCAGAAACCATTGTAAAAAGGTTTTGTCTGACGCCAAAGCTCGCTATTCCCAGGTCATTAAATCTCGTATCTCGTCACAAAAATTAGGCTCTCGAGACTTCTGGAGAATCTTTAACAGTATCAATAAGGGCAAATCTGTTATTCCTTCTCTCTTGTATGGTTCAGACTTTGTCACCTCACCTAAAGACAAAGCTGAATTGTTTGCTAAGAACTTTTCATCAATATCATCTCTTGATTCCACTAGTTGCGTTTTACCTGACATAGCCGTAAACAGGTTGATCCCTTGCTTGACATTCGCATCACTTCAGCTTCTGTATCTAAAGTAATTTCCTGCTTAGACTCTTCAACAGCTTGTGGTCCTGACAACATTCCTGTTGTAGTCTTGCAGAGGTGTTCTCCTGAGCTTTCATCCATACTCTCTAAACTATTTAACAAGTGCTTATCAGAGTCTTGTTTTCCATCATGCTGGAAAGCAGCATCTGTTATCCCTATTTTCAAAAATTCCGGAGAGCGATCTGATTCATCTAACTACCGTCCCATTAGTCTTCTTCCTGTCATAAGCAAGGTTTTTGAATCTTTAATCAACAAACACTTAATCTCTCATCTTGAATCAAATAACTTACTTTCTGATCATCAATATGGATTTCGGTCTTCTCGTTCTAAAGCTGATGTGCTAACAGTAATAACCGATAGGTTTTACCGTGCATTAGATAGAGGTGGAGAGGTTAAGGCTATCGCACTTGACATTTCTAAAGCTTTTGATAAAGTTTGGCATGCTGGTCTTCTCCATAAGCTTTCTTCTTATGGTGTAGCTGGTAACGTCTTTAAGATTATTGAGTCCATTCTTTCCAATCGTAGTATAAAAGTTGTCCTCGATGGACAACACTCTTCTTCACATCCTGTAACTTCAGGGGTTCCTCAAGGTTCAATCCTTGGCCCTATACTCTTTTTAATTTACATTAACGATCTTCCAGATATTCTCACATCTAAGGTGGCATTATTCGCCGACGACACTACCATTTACTCTTGTCATGATAAGAAGCCTACACTCTCTGATTGCTTGGAGGGGGTATCTGAGCTTGAAAAGGATCTCACTTCTGCTACAGCATGGGGCTCACAGTGGCTGGTGAACTTTAATTCAGATAAAACTCAATTTTATTCGGCCAATCGTTATCGTAATAATTTAGATCTTCCTATATTTATGAATGGTAATGTACTAGATGAGTCATCTACCATTCATCTTCTAGGATTAACTCTTACTTCTGATCTTTCTTTTAAACCGTATATCAAATCCATTGCAAAATTAGCATCTGCTAAGGTTGCATCTCTTTATCGAGCTCGACACTTTCTTACTCCAGATTCTATTCTCTATCTCTATAAATCTCAAATCCGTCCCTGTATGGAATACTGTTGCCACATCTGGGGCGGATCTTCTAATGATGCTCTTTCTCTTTTAGACAAGGTGCAAAAACGAATTGTAAACATAGTTGGACCTGCTCTGGCAGCCAATCTCCAACCTTTGTCACATCGTCGTAATGTTGCTTCTCTTTCTCTTTTCTACAAATACTATAATAGGCACTGCTCTAAAGAGCTAGCGTCCCTTGTGCCATCTACTAAAATTCATTCTCGTGTTACTCGCCATTCAATTAAGTCTCATCCTTTTTCTGTGACTGTTCCTAAGTGCTTCAAAAACTCTTATTCTTTTAGTTTTTTTCCTCGAACATCAGTTCTTTGGAATTCGCTTCCTTCATCTTGCTTTCCTGATTCATATAATTTGCAATCTTTTAAGTCATCAGTCAATCGTTATCTTGCTCTACAGATTTAGTCTTTTCTCTTCCAGTAACTTCCAACTCTTATAGTGGTTGCTTGCAGCCTTATTGGAAGTGAAGATGTTAAAAAAAAAAAAAAAAAAAAAAAAAAAAAAGTGGAAATGGTAAAATTATATGTGGCAAAAGCAACAATCATCCTAGAAGAATATCAGCTAACAATGAAAAAAAAACATACTATTTTAGCTTGTTGTAATGCATTTGGAAACTTTTTGCCAGTTTATATACTTCATAAAGGTGTAAAGATTATGTCTACGTGGTTTAATAATGCACCAACTGGTACTATTTTTGATGCTAATAATGTAGTAAAATCTAATCTAGCAACCACTTCAACAAATATAGAAAATACGCTAGTTAAAATATTGAAAAGAGAAAAAAGCTCAGTCCAGAAAAAAATAAAAGGTACACAAGTTAAAGGTTATTGCCTAACTTCAGATGATTTTGTTACTCAATTAATAGCTAAAAAAGATGAAGATAAAAAGAAAATAAATGAAATAGCTCAACAAGCAAACGAAAGAACAACAAAACAAAAAGAAATTGCTGACAAGCGTAAAGAAGACGCTGAAAAACATAAACAAGCAGCTGAAAAACAAAACATGCTTCTGAAAAACGCAAAGAAGAAAATGAAAAATGCAAACAAGTAACAAAATCAAGTAAGCATAAGGCAAAAAAAATAAAAAATAAAAAAACAAATGAAATTATTGAGTCCACTGTAGTCGCTAATACAAATGAAGCTATTGACGATAACTAAAATACTATTTCTTCATGGCAAACCACACAAATTATTCAACCCACGGCTTGTGAATGTGGTAAAATTCATCAGGAAGACCCTTTCAATTATCAATGAATAAATTATAAAAGTAGATGTGGTAAATGGTTATGTTGTACTTGTTTATTTTTATTGAGATATATTATTTCAATTTGAATTTATATGTTTTTGAATGCAAATGTAAGCAGTTATCTGTTGAATAAAAATCCAAAATAGAATGAATGGTTTTGTATTAAAAAAAAAAAATCCGATCATTAAATGTATGCGCGTGTACATGATTATTTTTTTACTATAAAAAAAAACTTTTTATTTTCGCAACTTTAATTTTTTCCATACGTTTTAAATGGAATCCGAATTAACTTGCACTGCATGATATTTTGAGTTTTTTAGTAGTGTTTTTATAGTTAAATTCGTAAATAAAATATAGCACTTTTTTTAAAATGGTTTTTCTGCAGCTTGTCGAGATCTACAAGATTATGTAAAAATATTTTTAAATTTCTTAAGTTTAAACGTCCTAGTTTTCATTCAAAGATAAAAACGTCCGAAATATGTATAACTCACGTTAATAATTCATACTCTGGTGTTTAAGATACTTATTGTAGGTTTTAAGAAATAATCAATAAAGTTTGAGATTTGGGTCATATAATAATTTAAATAAATGTAATTATTTGCTAAAAAAATTATAAGTATAGTCAAGCCTTTTGTAAATATTCTAAATGCAAGATTTAATTTAGTTTTAACTATCAGAAGCAACATGAAGAAGACAAAACAAAAAATTATAAAAGTAATGCAGTTACAATTATAAAAACATTTTATGCAAAATACATTGCAGAGATTGTTAATCAAGGACAACATGTAGAAAAGATAAAAAAAAAATTGTATTAATTTATCATAATATGACAAAAGTTTA